TTATAAAGACTAAAAAATTAATAACTATATGAAAAAGAATAATAATTTTATAAAATTAACTTTATTTTTTTTTCCGAATGATGTAGTATGATATTTTTTAATAAAATATTTTATAAAAATATGAATTAAGTATAATTAATAATATATTAAAAATTTAAAATAATATTATTTTTTGACTTATTTCTTCTTCTCGTATGATAATTCTAAATTGAGAGCTTTTTATTCACTTTTTTAAGTGAAATTATTCAGCATAAATTAATTTAATATAATATATAACTAATTTATAATATCAATAGTCCAGCTATTTGCAGTGAGGGACCCAACCCATCACAAGGTTACTCTTAACAAAAATTTCAATTAAATATTTTATAATTTGTATATGATAATGAAATAATCCTTAATTGTGAACAATGATATTTAAATAATATTTTGATTATTGATTAACATATGATCTACTACTTTGTCATACTTAATGTAGCATCATGATAGTTTTGCTCTAGATCAATATATGATCTACTACAATAATATATTATGATTCATTGATTCTTATATTTAAGTGTTAACTTTGCTCGACGTTTGCTATTTGGATTGATCCAAAATTTGGATAAATTTAGACCATCATACACGTCAAACGTCGATATTAGTCTGAAACAATAATCCATTTTTAATTTATGATATAAGTATATATGTCAATTGAATTTCATTTCTAATCCGATAATTCGTAATATTATTTTTTGGTAGTGGTACGAGTTCAATGCCTAATTATAGGATGATGTGTTAGTGGTGTTATGGTGTGTGGAACCACAAAGAAATTAGCCATCTCAACTTACATATATATAGGAAACCAAAACTACCACTATTGGACGGACGCATAAACTTTTAAATTTATTATTACAATATTAGACAATAATCAATCACATCAAGCAAATGTTTATTAATTTGTTTCTCATAATTATTTCTGACCATGAAAAAAATCCTATATATCCTACTACGAAGAAATTAAAGAAATTATGGTGTTGGTAATATATATACAATACTCTATCATTAATAAAATTTGAATTTTTAGTAAACAATTTAATTTTTTTGAAGAAAAAAAAAACAATTTAATTTTTATTGCGCGCTGCCTGCTTTCATTTACGATAAACAACAAATTGCATCCATATAACGTCACATTGAAAGCTGGTACTTGGAAATCACTTTGGAGACATGCCATCTGCTGGCTGAGTGCAATTATTACCAAATTTTCCAAAGCATCAATTCGACAAATCTTATTATGTGCCCAATACATGCACATTCATCATTAAATTTAGGAAAATCCATGACAACTTTCCCTTTTGTATAATTAAAGGGTAGAAGATTTTCTTTTGAAATATATGGTCCCTGTAATAAAAATATTTCAATTTCCCCATTGTCTCTTAGTGATATTAGTCAAATAAATAAAAATAAAATTATGACAAGATTCGAATATGAGAAACGATTACATTTATAATGTTTGTGTTTTGAGTATTTTTTTTAATATAATTATGTTATAGAATAAATTGCCTACCAATTTTAACTATGATTAATATTTTTGAAAAATTTTATTGATTATGTTTAGTAAAGTCTTCTCTTTTAATTATTATTTTATTCATAAAATTCAAACTTAAAATTTTATTTAAGAGAATTAAATTCAATTTCATTCAAACCAACTTGTTGGTCGAGTAAAATTAATTACATCTTATGGATATGAGATAAAATAAAATAAAAACTTAATTAATATAAAACTATTTTTAAATAGTTAAAAATAGTTATGGATTATATTCAATATCTCCTAATAATATATATAACCTTTAGTAAGGTACCAATTTTTATTTTTTTTAGCACTATCTTTTTTATTGTTATAATTCTTATTCTAAACAAATATTCACTTGTACATGAAATTGAGTCTATATCAATTATATCTTACTAAAAGCTTCAAAAATATTTTAATTTGACCATTTCAGTGTCACAATATATTGATAAATTTGAATAAATGTTAAAGAATGTTTAAAACTTAAATAGCAAAAGTAAACTTTGTAACTGGGAGGGAAAGATCCAAAAAGTAAACAAATTTTTAACTAAAAAATAATTATATCAATTAAATCCAAGGTTTTAAATAATATTTTCAAAAAGTTGAGGAGAAATCTGTACTATAATTTATATTTTTTTGTTTTAGAATAAAGAGGATACAGTTATTAGAGAGGTGAACTTTTACCCTTTAGAATTGTGATACAATGAACATACATGGCAGTAGGGAAATTGAAAACGATATGAGGAAGACAAAACATGAATATGAATGTATGCGTACGAACCTTATCTTCTTTGTCACTTCTCATAATCTGAGTAATACCAAACATTTTCGCACGAATGTTATCATATATTTATATAAGATAAAAAAAATACAATTTTATATAATTCTAATATAATTATTTCTACTTTTTCCTTTATATTTTATGTATTTCACTTTGCCTTTATTATCTCATGATAAACGCAAGGCACATCAATATATTGATCTATGTGTAAAATATTTGAGTTTTTTTTTTTCAAATATAATTAAAATTCAAAATTTTAAATATGTATTTACATATAAAAAAAGGTGTTAAAAAATATTTTTACCACTGATATTTTATATAATTTTATTAAAATCAACTTGGGTTGACCTTTTGTTGCTTAATTATAACTCAAGATATATCAAATTTTTTGAAAGAAATTATCCTTGTATTCCATGGAAAATACTGTTTTTAATGAAAAAAAATGATTTTATTAAAATATTAACTCAATTACACTTTTAGTTTTTTTTTACTATTTTTATTTTGTAAATTTAGTTCCTTATTTATTTCTTTACCATCTTGATCGCACTTAAAGAAATGCTCGTATATAATTTATACAAGTATATCATGTGATGAAAAAAAAAAGTGAATGAGTTAATTTTTCCAATAAAGTGTTTTGTATATCGACACATGAAACTTATATTATCTATGAATTGTGAAACACTTGTTGGTTTTATTTTATAATATAAATAAAAATGTTACGTACGTGTGTAGATGAGGTGCGACGCGTTTTTGAACAGGATATATGCCTTATCCGTCTACGCAGAAGAGAAGCTGTGACTGGAAAACATTGTCTGTTTCTTCCGAAAATGTGTGGAGAAGTACATGATTATGTCCGGGAGACCATGGAAAAACAGTGCAGAAACTGCTCTTGTTTGTTTTCACAGAATGTAGCAAACACAAAACCACCTCTCACTCTTACCTACTACATTCCAATAACTTCCTCTCTCTTCTTTTGACCACAACTGCGATTTCTGGGCCTCTTTTATGCTCACAACACAGATGGGCTCGTCCTTGCCGGGTACTCAGTGGGACACTCACATCATATATGGCACCAGCCAGCCAGGCATTATCATCACCATAAAAAATATATCTAACTAACATCTTTCTTTTGTATATATATAAATAAATAAAGGACATTCCAATCTCACTCCGTGTTCATGTTTTAGATTAAATTCTAATTCTTATTTAACAAGTACAATTAATAAATTATTTATATATTCTTTATCAAGTTTACTTTTGTGACTCTTAAACTATAATAAGGACATGTTTAGATTCATATAGTTGACATCTACATTCAAGTAAGAATTATATCAATTAATGGAAAAAATTATTTTTTATTGTTTCTATTGAATATGAAAAGAGAGTGATAATCTATGTTATAGATTTGGTTCAAAAAAGTGCACACACACTCAAACATAGCTATAATGATGAGTGTTGTAAATAATTTGTACAAGATTTGAAGTTAAAACCGAGTAGTTGCTGCACTGAAAAAATCTAATTCAATATAAGCTAATTAAAATTTACCAAATCTGAATTGTAAATATATTATAAATATTTTTAACATATAAATATATTAAATATCAAGTATTACTGTAAAATATGATAATATAAGAGAATGAAAATATTAAAATTTGATAATAAATTAATTATTTCATATAGAGTTTACATGCACTGAGTTGCTATAATAATTTTTGCAATTGTGATTTTTTGTTTTAAAAGTAGGCTGACCACATCATATAATTAATCGTGTTAGTTTATAACAAAGTTTTAACCTAATGTTAAATTACTCTTTTCCCAATCAAACTGAACCCCTGAAATTTTATTAACCTGTTTTGGAATGATTATTAATTTGGTTGACACCGCTGCTGCTAATAGTTAGCAACTTAAGAATTTCGTAACATGGTGTAGACAAAAAGAAAATCGTAACAAGGACACAATTGGTGTTGTTTGCTTTTGGAATTACTAGGGAAAACACTACTTGAACCTTGTATAGAAGTCCCCCCTGTTTATTTAATACCCACACATGGTTTTAGTTCCTTTATTTAGTGACAGAATCTGACACAACAACTATTTATTATAGAGACGTCGCGAGAAAAAATTGGACTCATTCCAAACTATCACGATTCACTAGGACCTTATCAACATTTTTAACGTCCGATTTCTCGCTTTTTCTCTCCCCCACCGAATCCCTACGTAGAGCATGTTTATCCTAGTACAATTTATTTATTTTTACTACATAAGAGTTGTTTATTTTCAAGAAGTTCCTACCGAAATTATTTAGCAACCATATAACGTAATTTACTGAATATATTTCCTGATAATCCAGCAAACCAAGTGAAACAGGGTAATTAACTTTGCATATTAATTATTTTCAACAATTAATTCATTATTTCAATTCACTGTGATTGATTGGTTAGCTGGAGTTGATAGTGGTATAAAGTTGGCATGCTTTTTCCTGAAAACTATGGAAAAAGAAAGTTCACAAGTGAAGCCTTTCTCATTTCCGTTTATAGGAAATTAGCCCCATGCCACTTCAGTGGGGCAACTTGGCATCCATGATTGCTGCCCAAAATTGTAAAATTCCGAGCCAACGTTATGATGATGATAGCACTGCCACAAAGGTAATTGAAACGAGAAAAAAAAAAAAAAGAAGAAAAAAGAGTGCTATATATTCAAGGGGATAAAATTTTACAGTGGAGGGTTGTTATAAATGAGTATATATGCAATATTACGCGACTTAAAACATAGACTTGACCTAAGTAATTAATTAACTTTTCCCTAACATGTCCCCATGCATGAAAAGTTAATTACGAACCAAATACATATAATATAATATAATGTGCATGTTTATTGGATTGTTCAACTCTGATGGATCCACTGTTTGTGTCCCGGAACCCACTTAGGACACTTTGGACTGAAATAGTTGGACGTTACCCTGGAGTTCAGCAATTCCACAATGGGAGCAAACTTGACACACCTTGGTGCCTTGTACTGGTTAATCGAAGCACCTAAGCTAATGGCATAGTCCATGAGTTTGTCAAAGGTTCCATGTTCCACAATCTTGATCTCAAGGGGTCCTATTGATTTGTCGGACACGCGTCCTTGGCGATAGACGCTGTTGAGTGACTCCTCGAGGGTTAGGCAACAATCCTCGTACACGCAGGGTGGAATAGGAGTTGACCCTTTCAAGTTTAGCTCCCAGTATAACACGTAGTGCCCCGGGATCGTTGTGGTGTCTGCGTAGCTTGTGTATTCCGCCACGTGTGCATCGAAGGGCACCAAGTGTGTCACAGCGTTCTTCATTGCGTTCTGAAGCTCCACCTCGTCCGTCTTGTCGGAGTCTATGCTCAGGACAACGTTCTTCCTGCAAACGAAGCTGAACTGAGGGGCCTTGTTCTTGAACCCTGACACCCTCAGTATGTCTCCCACTCTGTACCTGTAGAGTCCTGAAATGATGAAAGACCAAATTGTGTCACTAAATAATAATATATATATAAATGTAAATAATTTGTAGTGAAGGTATTAATTAGTTTGACTGACCAGCATGAGTTGTAACAACGAGCTCATACTCGTGGCCGAGTTTGACATCAACAAGGTCGAGCAATTGTTGTTGTTGGGAGTGATTGAGCGAAGTGGGAGCGAGGTGGTCGGAGCGGTTGACGGGTAAGAACTCGTAGTAGCACATGGTGGGGATGAGCGTGTAAGAGACATGTGCGGGTTTGCAAAGGGGGTTGAGGTTGACACCAAAGTAACACTCACTAGAAGCGTACATGGTGCACACAAGTGGGAGGCCATTGCTATAGTAATCCAAAGTGGGAATGTACTGTGCCATAGTCCCCGTCACAATAACGTCCACATACTTGGTATTGGGCCAGAGGCGGGTAATGATCCCCTGCCAGCACCCCTTGCTGCACTCCCTGTGGACCAACTCCGCCAGCGCCGGATCAGCCTTCAGGATCCTCATGACAGCCTCTCGCACGGGAGGGTCCGTGATCAGAGGGTCAAGGGTGCCCGTTCGGATGTCGTGGCAGAGTAGGGTCCAGTGTTTCTCCAGGAAGCGGATGGCGCGGATGAATCCCGAGGCGAAGATGGCTCCCACGCGGAACACGTGTTGGTTTTGGATGAGGCCGCAGAGGAGCTGGGAGTACATGCTTTGGTAGGAGTCGGGGCAGAGAACGGTGTCGTTTGGGCTTGTGTAGTTTGTGTATGGGTCGAAGGGTCTGTCCCTAAAGTAAGGGCTCTTGTAGTAGCTTGTGAGGACGGGGCGTGCCACGATCCCTGCGGGGGTTTTGGACTCGGATTTTGTGAACAATAGGTACATTCCTTTGCCCTTTTCTAGGTCTCCCACGAACTGGCTCATTATTGGCATCAATAGGCTATACAGAAAACATCGCCTCCCTAGCTCCTCTTCGATTGTTGGCATCAGCTTTCTCTCACCACCTGATGTACCAGAGCTACAAACACATAATCACATACTAAACATTATAAAATGTAGTTGGGGAAAACACTTTTCTAAAATGACAAACTAGTAGATATTTTACACATTATTAAAAAAATATACATCATAAATTATGTTTATATATATATATTAAAATATTTACGAAGATTACCTAAGTTACTTAAATTAATTAGTAAAAAAAGAACACACTTTTAGAGCAAGGAAAAATTACATGGTCAATCTCTCGTTCACACATAATGAATTCTTATGAATTTTTGTTGTGAATGGAAAAGGTGGGTTTTGTATTACGCGGATATGGATCGATCATCGATGACGGTGATAGGTAGATGGTGGTCTAAGATCATGTGATAATTTGTATAGTAGGGAAGATAGAAAATTAAGCAACAAAGTGTTATGGCGTTGATGAAAGGGAAGTACCTGGTGAGAAATTCAGTGATGGGTTTGGAGGTTAGGATTGGGGAGGTGTCACCATTGGCGATGCGGTTAATGTCAGGTTGGACATCCTCGTAGGTGATGACCGGAAGAAGCTTCTTGAACGTGTCACGGTCCGTTTGGCCATTGAGACGGTGTCGTCGCAGGTATTCAACGTTTGCATTGCGGGACAGAATTTCACCAAGCACGTTCTGCTGGACTTGGTCTGCGTTCGCAGTCACGTCCTCTATGAAGTCCAGAATCTTCTTGTTCTTCTCTGCCAGTTCGTAGCCGTCGTCTCTGGGAGCCTCGGGCATGATGATGCTATGTGCTTTGTGTTGTCAAACAACGCGAAACACAGAGAGAAAAGAAAAATACCAAGTGTTTGAGATTGTTTAGGAAGGAGGAGGAGGTGTTATTGGTGTTGGTAGTGAGGTGAAAGGAATGAGAAAGTGGTATATATAATAGAGGCACATGTCTGGTTCTGTGGGCTTAAGGGGTAGGGACCCTGGAGTCAATACACACAAGAGTAGAGGGTGGAATCGGATATATATCCATTATTCTATCACTTTCCTTTTACTCTATTATTTTATCAATGCTTTAATACTTTAGGATTTTTTATAATTTAGTTTTTAAGATTAGAATTTTGTTTATAACATATTCATATTTTTATATTTGGTTAATCATATTAGATAACTATTTCATGTTGTCTTACACTTAATTATTCTCTACATTAATTATTTTAAAATTCTTGTGATTAGAGGGTTTATGAAGAAATTTTAACGGATGGAATGAGACTAAAATATGATACATATGGAATATAGTTGAATGGATGATGATTATTTCGTTTTATGTGGTTGTCCAAATACGAGGATATAAATAATATTTTATAAATTTTTAAAGATTAATTATAAACGAATTTCTAATTACATGAATGAAATTATAAAAATTATAAAAAAAATGAAGGATTTAATCATATTGTTTTTAAATTTTGAGACGTAATTAAAAAATTTTAAGAAAAAAATAATGTACTATTTATATTTTTTATTTTTTACTTTAGAAAACCTTAATCTTCTGTTTTTACATGGATCCAAGTGTGAGTCGTCATTGGAAAAACAATGATGTAAGAATAACAGAACGGAACGGTTCGTGCTTGGTATCGTGCCAAAGCATACAACTTTCATTTATTGTCATGCACGTTAGGAATTTGGCTTGTTAGGAAAAATCGGGGGAAAATTAACAAGAAAAAGAGGGAGGAAATGAGAAGATATACACGATTTCAAGTGAAAATGACATAGCAAATATATAATATGTGAAGAAAATTGTATATTGAAAGTGGGATTATTTTTTATTGTGAGAAAATAAAATAAAAATGAGATTATTTTATTAGAAAGATCCATAACCTGAGAGGTTGCCGCTTTTAAAAGAAAGATAGAGTCATAGAAGATAGAATTGAGAGTTTAAGTTGAAAACAAAAAGGCATGCATGTAGTTGCAGTCACTTCTTATGGGACCCCAGTATCAAATAATGGAATAAGACAAACTTCTATGACTATATCCTTTGTCTCCTTGAAGATCGATCGGTCAATACACACACCATTAATTCAACAAAATATCCACACAAAAAATAAGACTCAGATAAATATTGAACTCGTTTAAAATTCCACTCGTCCCGTTCTTTGGGTGTGCAAAATGCAAATTCGAAAAAAAAATGTTACCATGCAATTAAAGGGAAACAGCCAAACCAATTACCATTAAAATAAGAACAAAACATATATAATTATATGCAAATGATTTGATTTTTTTTTTAGTGTTATTTTTCGATTAGAAATAGAGTTTCGTTTTGTAGTTATTATAACAAAAGTGTCCTGAAAATTAGTATCGATGAACTTTTGTAATATGTATAGCACAGGCTTGAACGCGAAAAGTTATATTTAAAAGAATTAATAATTTTGGAACTCCAAATAATTAGTCTGGTTTATATAAAATTTTGAAGGAAAAATTAATCAACCGGAAGGTCCAGTAAACACGGTACCGAAAGAGGCGAGTGCGATGCCCCACAAAATACCGGCAACCGCTTATTTCAGTGCTATTGCCGGTAGAATTATTCTAATTTTTTTTTTTTTTTTTATAAATTCCTTTTATATATACACTAGTAAAAATAAAATACGTCATGCCACGTCATAAAAAAATAAAAATATAATAGTAATATTAAAATTTAAAAAGTGTATAGTTGAATTCAGAATAATGAAATAATTAAATTAATTAATTAATTAAATTAATTAAATAATACAAACTATAAAAAAAAATGTAGACACCAAAATATGATGATATCCTTTATTCATGCTATATATATATATATTAATTAAATTTTTTTAATATCATACAGATATTAAATATACATTTTTTATTAATATTTTTAAACATAATAAGAGAATTGATGGGAGAATCTCTAAAAAAATATACGGTATAACTCTTACTAATAACAAGAAATATAATGTTGATAGTTGATACTGTTTAATTAGTTGGAGTGAAAATAGGATCTTTGTACAGTAAATGTAAAAAAAAAATATTAACCCAACTAGAAATTGTGTTATATATGTTTAATTAAAAAAATAATTATCGTAAACGTTAATACATAATAATTTGTAATAATATTAAATGACACTATTATATTGGTAGTACATTAAATTAAATTATTTTTATCAAACTAATGTAATTAAGATTATTAAATTAGGTTAAGATTTTAAATTTTATTAAAATGAGATAAAAACCATATATTAAAGATTTACATATTATTTAAAATATAAATTTAGAAAAATGATATATATATATATATATATATATATATATATTCTATTTTTATTATTATTAATAACATTAAATTTGAATATATTTATTATAACATGCAAATAAATAATTAACTAGTGTGCATATATATATATATATATATATGCACACTAGTTAATTATTTATTTGCATGTTATAATAAATATATTCAAATTTAATGTTATTAATAATAATAAAAATAGAACTAATTTTTCACTATATTAAAACCTTAACCTTATATTATATATAATACTATTCAAATTTGTATGGTATTTTTTGTTTCAAACCTTGTAGATCATTTGCTACTCTATATTCATTTTGAGCTCTCAATTATTTAAATAAAAATATAATAATTTAGTTTTTATAAAAATAATGGAAGAATAATAACTATACATCAATAAAATTAATAAATTTGAATAGAAATCATAATAGGACCAAAATTATACATTTTAATCATAATACAAATATATAAATATTAATTAGCCAAAAAAAATTAACAATTTTTTTTTCATTTCCTCTTGTGATAATTGTTTTCTTGCATCAAAATAAAGTATAAGATCCAGATTGCGCAAATATTTTAATTAAAAGACAGTAAATTTAGAAAAAGGTCTGCAAGTTGTTTGCAGTAAATAATGGAAGAATATTTATAGCAAACTTTCTATAAGAACTTACAAATTTTTTATATTACATTACTATATTGTACTATTAAATTCACTGAATTATTGTATAAAAAATATTATTGAATTCTCATTATTTATTTTCTTAACAATCGTTTTAACAATACTTAAAAAATTAAATTTAAATGTCACTATTGGGTTTTCTGGTTGAAATATCAAAATGGGACCGGCCAGCTGTTTGTGAAACATGTTAGGTTAACACGTGATCCGATAGGAGTTTATGTTTATCCTTCACAAGCTTATTTTATTAACAAGGGATAATAATTATTTTGCAATGATTTATATTACTTTCTTTCTAATAACATTATTGCTGATTTTTTTTTTACTACATACTGAAATCTCGGTGTAACACATGATAATTCAATTTAGAGAAAATATTTTTCAAAAAAAGTAAATAAATTTAGGTAAAATATATCATTTTAGTCGATCATTTGACTTTTTTTTTTTTTTGTTTATTTCATAAATTTAAAAGTTTCACTTTAATTTCTTAAAGTTTATTTTAAATTAAAGTAAAAATTAAAATAAAAAGACCAATTAAAATATGAAAAAGTTGGATAAGGGATCAAAATTATTTTCTAAGAAAAAATTTATTAGTAAAAATATCAAATATTAGAAATTGGTGTTCTCCTTAGTGAGAGAGAACCTTCTTTATATTTCTCTTTCTTTTTTATCTACATGTGTCATTTATTTATTTATTTTTAATTAGGTTGTATAAAACCTGAGGGTGTCAAATGATCTTTTCTCCCTCCCTATATTTAACACGCAAATATAAATTTTAAGCTTTTCCTTAGAAAAGATATATTATATCTTTTAATACTCCAAAAGCTTGTTATTTATAAATGATTTAGTTTGGGATTAGTCTCCGAAAGCATAGTCTTTTTTAAACAAAAATAAAAATTATTAGTATAAATATCATAATTTTTTTTTTATCCGAAACTAATAATATGATATATTGTACAAATTAAATAGGCAAATATATATATGTTATCTAATGTTCGTATAATGCATGATACTTTAAGCATAAATATTTCATACAAACAATTATTTTAATTGAAATCACACATTTTCTTTATATGAGACGATGGTGTTCGAGTTATGTTAAATTAATATTATAGATAATAATTTTCTTTTAAGTATTTAATTCATATATATATATATATATATATATGTATGTATATATATATGATTAAACTCCGTTTTGAAATCTCTTGTTAAATCTAAATAATTGTACTAACAAAACACAATTTTAACATGCCATTACAAGATTTATATGTTAATAAATATTAATTAAAGGTTTTTTTATTTACATAGCGTTTGGTACACCAAAAGGCGAAGATTTGCGAAGAAAGGGAAGAGGGGTTACTATTTCGTGGTTTGACACAGTAGAAATGCGATGAAGACTAGGTAGGTTTTTACCTTTTTTTCTCTCCACTAAAAATTAAGTGGAAGTGTAATGAAAAGTACAACATAAATAATTAAAAATTATATTCTCTAGACTTCTCCTATATATGTCTCCTGTCAAACATTTTAATTTCCTATTTACTTTCCTTCTCTTCTCCATTGTTCTTTTCTCTTTCTTTTATTTATTTATTTTTTATTTTTTCCTTTCTAGCAAGCATAGCATTAGAGTATGCATGAGAGAGATGATAAAGGAGGTGATGTATATAGGAGTCGTACAATGCAATATGATCCTACTACGTGGTCTTTGTCACTATCCTGAACAAGGAATTTTTCGTTAATTGTTTAATTAGAACTGAAAGATGAGTAGGAAAGTGAAGTTAAAGAAAGATGAACGTGAAGGGAAAATTTGTTTTAGATCCAAAAAAAACTACGTTGCTTCATATATAACCATTTCTGTCTAAGCACAACATGGACCTCTGTTTTTGTTTGCTCTTCAATTATATGCTTTGTTTACGCCAAATAGTATTGTTTTCCATGAAAATG